AACGAGTAACGCGTTCCTGGTTTTGGCATAATAACTAGTTACCGTGCTCGTTACCACAATAATAACGTAGTTACTGTAACGCGTTACTTAATAACGCGTTAGTCCCAACACTGCTGATTAGTAGCCTCAAAACTTCTAATGATCACTTAATGGAAAGACAAATGGTGGCAGTTTTACAGTGTGTCAGAAAAATCCAAAAGGACTCTCAGGTGAGTAGGATCTGAAGTGTCCACTGTAGCCACTGTTTTGCTCTCATTTTTTCTCATATTCTCAGAATCTTTCCTTTGTTCTCTTTCATCTCTTTTCATATTTGACATCGTTTTTTCTGTTTTGGTTCTGCTCAACTTCGTCTGCATCTGTCCCCTCTCGTACTCTTTCCTCCTGTCGTTCCCGTTTTCCTTGTTTTTGTACATGTTTCACCTTTTTATGTCCCATCTCCATTCTCTTACCTTTGACTTTTATGTGCCTCCATTCCCCTTTTATTCTTTTCCCTTGTTTCATTCTCCACCAGGAGGTCCAAACTTCAGATGATTCAGATTGTGGTGATGACATTGACCCAAAGACGGGCATGGAGGTACCAGCTGTTCATTTTCATTGAAAAGATCTCTGACTCGGTGTTGAATACTTTTCTATTGAATTATTATATCAGCATTAGACAAACACTGTGTTGGAGACAAATGTGAGAGAATTTAAGAAGTTTAAAATCTGGAACTATTATGTATAAATTCATTTTATATAATACTGCTTCATATATGCTGAAAACTAATCCACATCTAATTATTTTCCAGCTTCTGAACCCAAACTTCATCCAGGAAGGTGAGACATACATAAGGCAGTTAATGCAAATTACATTTATTTATTCATTGAATAAGTTGTGTGACAAAGCCAAGAGGCTTCCAAATGCTTTTCACTACCACGGGAATACAAGAAGCCCCAACTCCTATGTCAGTCTGGAACAGCAGCAAACCTGGTAATAAATGATGTGCTAGAATCAGCCTGATTATTCTGATCTGAATCAAATGATTTGGCAAAACTGGTCATTATTTATGCTAATGCAGTATAACAGCAATGCAACAATTCCTTCTGAATACATGAGAGAGGTTTGAACTGTTCCCAAAAACTACAGAACTGAGCTGAAAATGCTTGAGGTCACACATGCCTTCACTCAGAAACAACAACGTGATAAACTGTGGACATTTTAACTAAGAGCTGAGGGGAACGTGGTTTGTGATGCGTTTTCTGTGTGCAGTGGCTCCAGAGTTCTTGGTCCCACTGTCAGATGTGGTATGTGCATTCGGAGAGACCGTAGTCCTCTGCTGTAAAGTCTCAGGACGGCCTAAACCTTCAGTCACTCTGAAGGGCCCTGACCAGAATCCAGTGACCAACAACAGCCGCTTCACCATAGACATCAGGTAACAAAGAGACCACGAGGAACACCAGATGTGTCCATGAAGGCTTTCCAGAGGACCATTTCAATGCTGTATTCAGATTTTTGTTTTTCCTCACTTGCTTCTCCTTCAGTGTTTTAACTTTTAAACATACAGTGGTGTAAAAGTGTTCACCCCCTTCCTGATTTTTATGCGTTTCCGATCATCAACCAGATTTAAATATCAGACAAAACTCACACAAGTAAACACAAAATGCAGTTTCTAAATGAAGGTGTTTATTAAGGGAAAAAAACTAAACCCTCATGGCCACGTGTGAAAAACCTAGTAACTGGTTGGTCCACCCTAAGCAGCAACAACTACAATCAACTGAACGTTTGGCAGTGAGTCTTTTGCATCGTGTTGGAGGAATTTTGGCCCACTCATGTTTGTAGAATAATTGTAATTGAGCCATCGGAGGGTTTTCAAGCACGAACAGCCTCATGCCACAGCTCCTCGGTCAGATTCAGATCAGGACTTTGGCTAGGCCACTCCAAAGTCTTCATTTTGCTTTTCTTAAGCCATTCAGAGGTGGACTTGCTGTTTTGGATCACCGTCCTGCTGCAGAACTCAAGGGCACTTCACCTAGAGGTCACAAAGAGGTGGCCAGATGTTCTCCTTCAGACAGCAGAAGTCATGGTTCCATTTTCCACAGCAGCAAAACAGCCACAGACAATTACACTCCCACTACCATGGTGTACTGTTGGTACGATGTTCCTTTTCTGAAGTGCTGTGTTACTTTTACGCCAGATGTGATAGGATGACAATTATTTTTTCACACAGGAAATCAGGAAGGGGGCAAACACGTCTTCACACCACTATAAGTAGTACCCTCTATGAGTGCAGCCTTTTGATCTTTCCTCCCCTCTCCATACTCCTACGCACTGTGCAGGGATACAGGTGACATCTTGTTGAAAGTCTGTAATCTGATGCCTCAGGATACAGGAATCTACACCTGTGTTGCTGTTAATGACCACGGCACTGCATCCTCCTCTGCCTCCATCAAAGTCCAAGGTGTCGCACTTTGATTAACACTGAGGACCATTTGAGACGGTTACTGTTGATTTGGGGTTGACTATTTTTGTCTTGGCTTGCAGGTATCCCAGCAGCCCCAGTGAGACCTGTGGCTCAGGAGGCCAGCAGCACAGCGGTGATGATCCACTGGCTGCCCCCGGCTTCATCTGCCCACTGTACTGTCAGCAGCTACACTGTGGAGTACAGACAGGAAGGTCTGTGTATTAGCCACTGGAATTGTTCTGTAGTGATGTTCAAACAGACTGACCATTCCTCCTCTTTCATTCACAGACTCGTTCCTGTGGCAGCAGGTGGCCAGCAGCAGGGAGGAATGTGTGCAGATCGACTCTCTGATCCCCGGAGGTCACTATCAGTTCAGAGTTCGGGCCTCCAACCGCTGGGGTGTCGGCCCACCATCGGAGCCCTCAAATATGGTCACACTAGCCAGCAGCAGTAAGTCGCACGTGCTCTTAACAAAGAAAAGTAAATGCATGAGGATGCATTCAAGGATACCAAAAGGTATCCTTGAATGCGTCCTAGACCTGAAGGTGAACAGTTTTAAATCTCAAAGATTTGAAATTGAATTTGCCATCAGCTGGTGAGAGTATGACACACTCCACCCCTGGAAATATATCACAGTAGAGAGGAGTAAATGAAGAAGGTTGTTTGCTGGAGAGTGGGCAGGCACTTGAGCCTCGGGTAAGTCCCGATTCCACAGACTCATAAAACCTGAGCGCTGATCTGGCTGTGAGCTTTTCAGTCTAGACCGGGCACCTCTGCCCATGGGCATAAACACCGGTAGATTAAGGCGAACCACCTCTCCACCTAAGAGTAAAGAAAGTGGAAATGAAAACAATTTCTCCACTAATGCTGACATGTTCAGGGGAATTATCTTACTTATGTATTTGTTCTTTGTCCAGACTCTGGCTGTGATGGGACGGGCATTCATTGGAAGGAAAACTTTGAGTCAACCTTTACTGAGATCTGTGAGATTGGAAGGTAAAACGATTTCAGTCACAAATAACGTCTATCGAGCCAAAGCAGCCGGTTTTTAATGCAGTCTCACTTGCTTTGACCAGGGGACGGTTCTCAGTGGTACGGAAGTGTGTCAACAGGTCCACTAAGAAAGAGGTACTTGTTCCTTTTGTTTAACTTCTTAAAAATTAAACTTGATATTTTATCAGCTACTGTGAGATGCAGACACATTCAAGATGTAACCTGTTTTAATGATCGTATAGATAAACTTGATAATCTGTCTGTGTTTGCACAAACAAGCATTTTATTATCTGGCTGTAAATCCTTGTAATCAGCTCTGCGCCACCTTGATGAAAAATCCACAATATGTCATCGTGCAGAGTGGTTTTGTCTCAAAACTTTAACTTCAGGCGGGGTGGCTGCAGCTCAGGAGGTAGAGCGCTGTGGTAGAAGGCTGTGCGCTTGTATGTTGGGCAAGATACTGAACCTCAAGTTGGATGGAACTAGTCAAATAGATGCACCTCGGCATAGAAAAAACTATATTGCACGTTTAAGTGTTTTGCCTTTGTTCTCCACTAGGTGGCAGTGAAGTTTGTGAGCAAGAAGATGCAGAAGAAGGAGCAAGTGGCTCATGAGGCAGACATTCTGCAATATGTCCAGAATCACCAGCTGGTGTCATTGTTGGACACCTACGAGTCTCCCTCCTGTCTGATACTCGTCCTGGAGCTGTAAGTCCAGTGTTTGGCTGCTGCAAGGTTCTTTTATCGTAGTGTTTTCGCTTGTTTTTCACAACAAGTAGAGTTTTCAGCTGCTTTTAGAGCCCACGTGGTTTGGTATGAACCAAACTAGATGGCTGTTACTTTTTAATAGCTTTCTTTTCAACTTTGCTCTCTTTGAATGTTTTCATAATGTTTACACTTTGTCAGCACAACCAGGACGAGCAAAGCAGAACAGCTGCTCCATAATGTGAACGTGTGACATCACCCATTCACAGTGAATGAGTTACAAAGCCTGCACTGCATATTCACAGCTGTGTGTAATAGCGGGTCTACTGAGCGAGTCATTCAATCACACAGTGCAGAAATCGAAACTTGTCTGTGTTTCCATGTTAGACTGGAGGATGGCCGCTTGCTTGATTATCTGGTTGCCCACGATGAGCTGATGGAGGAGAAGGTGGCCTTCTTCATCAGAGAAACACTGGAGGCCCTGGAGCACCTTCATACCTGTAGAGTGGCACACCTAGACCTGAAGGTGACTGCAGGTTTTTGTCACATATGAAAAGAAAAATATTGACAATTGTTGTTTGCTCACCTGTGTCTAAGTCATAACTCTGTTTTTGCTGTAGCCCGAGAACATCATGGTCAACCTCCATTCTCCCATGCCCAGTATTAAGTTAATCGATTTTGGCGACACTGTCCAGTTGTCTGCCCACCGCCGATACGTCCACCTCTTGCTCGGGAATCCAGAGTTCGCTGCGCCTGAGCTGATCCGTGGCGCTCCAGTCTCCGTGGCCACAGACATGTGGAGCTTGGGTGTTCTGGCTTATGTCATGCTTAGTGGCGTTTCTCCGTTTCTGGACGAATCACCAGAGGAAACCTGCATCAACATCTGCCGCCTAGACTTCTGCTTCCCAGATGAATACTTCTGCAATGTGAGCCAGGTGGCGAGGGATTTTGTGTCATCATTACTGCAGCAGGATCCCAGGAAGCGGCCGAGTGCTACTTCCTGTCTCCAACATCTGTGGGTGGGTCGTGGAGGTGGGGAGTACTCCAAGACACCACTGGACACGGCACGGTTGGCCACATTTATCGATCGAAGGAGACAACTGCACGACGTTCGGCCCATTATGAACGTGAAAGGGCTGGTGAGCAGCGGCATGGGAAACACACTGTGACGGGATCTGAACTCCCACAGGAGCGTTTGATTGTCTGTCTGTCAGTGTGTGCGTGGGACAGATGTTTGGTGCTGAATCCTTCCTGTGGTGCAAAATGGAATCTCTTGCTACTGCAGGACCACGATCAGTCCCCTGTAGACCAAAACCTTAACCCCAGAATATTTATTTATTCTATTACCTTGTTATTTGTTCATTTACCTATTTCAGCAATGACACATGAAGTGGGTCAGGTAAACTGCCAAAACACCACAAGAACCCAAAGAAGTCAGCTGGACTAAGGTGGAACTGGATGTGTTGGCTCCAGTTTACCGTCATGTAACTAACTGTTGGGACTTTGCAGAGGTCTCTCGCTGAGCTGAGGCCCAGTGCCTGAGTGCTGCCTGTCGCTTAATAGAGGGTCCTGCACAAAGTGCTGTTTGAACTGCAGGTAGTTGGACAGTTGCAGGAACAGTGACACACCGTGATGAGCCTGTTTCTAGTATATTTGTAATCATTTCCTTTCAAGGACAGTGTCCTAAAAATTATATTTGCATATCGATAAACTGCAATTACACTTTTGAAGGGAAATATATTTCCCCACAGTTTACTCGAATATGCTGGTATTCAAAATATCTTCTTCCTCTTCTCCAGTTTCTTTGTCACTTTTCTTTCTCCTGTTTTTACTCCTTTCAAGCAAAGGATTACAGATTACTACAGAGGTGGGAAATAACAAATACTCTGTAACAGTACTTAAGTAGGATTTTCAGGTATCTGTATTTACTCCCTACATTTTCATAAAAGGCTCATTACTTTAGCTTTGACACATTTAAGGGGTAATATTATTATCATTTCACATCACTGCAGGCCCTCTGGAACAGATTTGAACCTAAATGTTGAGGACAGTAACATCGACAACAATCCTGTTACGACAAGAGGCAAAAATATATCAGTTATACATCACACATACATTAATAGCTCTACTCGGGGGCTAAAGTGGACCGCAACGATCTAGATACCATGAGCTGCGATGCACTTCAGCATGTAGCTAGCACTACAGAAGAGGAAGTAACGATGTTTTAACTGGCAGATCATTTTAAATGTACCTTTAAACAACTCAACAAATATAAACACACAAAGTGTTTGTGTGCAGTGTGGACAGCAAGTACAGCTGCTTTGTTTCCCAGGGAGAGAAATGAATGCGTTCACTGAGAGATGGAGAAATGTGAAAAAACTAGATTGGAAATTACATTTAAATGTAGTTTTGAGTTTTTGGATCCATCCGTTTGTTTTCTCACACATCTGCAAAACAAATCAAAGGATTCTGACTTTGTGTTATTAAAAGGTTGCATGAAAGAGCAGCTTAGTGCTGAGTCGGTTCATCTACAGCACTGTGCTTAAGTTTAAAGTAGTGCACGATGTTTGCCTGCTGCAGAGAACCTGTTGCGTTCATGCTCACTGTTACATCGGCTGATGCTGGTTGGACTCCCTCACTGACTTCCATCTTTGTGCTACAGAGGGAGTGTAAAACAGCCTTGTGAGTCTGTGTAATCTCTGCTTACATCTTGTTAATTCAGTTGGTTAAATTCACAAAGAGCGGTACATTTTAGAGCAGCAGCAACACAAGTCAGTCGATCACAGCCTGTAGACAAAATGTACACAATCAAAATGAATGGAGCTTATGTTGGTTTCCCCCACACTCCAGCCGTACAACTGATCTGAGAGTTTCACACCTGCCAAATCCCACTTTAATCCCCGACTATGTTCTTGTACTATTTAGGTGTTTCAGCAGTCACGAGGCTCAGTTTACATTTCTGTGCATTTTCACTTTTACTTGAGTTAAGAAGTTTAATCAGCAGTTTGCAACACGAGTGTCCATCGTTCTCCTAAAGTGACGACTGTCTGCGGTTTTGCCACCTCTGCATATTTGATGACACAGTATTTGTGACTCACTCAAGCTAGAAACTGATAAAGTGTTACCGAAGCATCTGTAAGGATCTAAAACTTTAAGTATGGACGATGTTTGTTTGTTTTTCTAACATGACTTCATCACACATGCATCAGTATGTTGTGTGATGCTGTTACTTACATGGAAAAGTCTCTCCACAAAGAAAAATGATGCGTAGAATTATAATTTATGGAGAAACTGTTACCTGTAGCTGTCGTATAGGCCACATGAATAAGGACTGCACTTTTCTATGATCTACCTTTAATTTATTAAATGTTTATTTATTTCAGGACTGAACTAAGGGTGGTGTAATATTTGCTCTGGGGACCTAGAGCAGTCCGTTTACTCGACACATGGAGTTCAGAGGATGCCTAAACCTACTGAACTAAACGAGTGTGACTGTACAGCTGTGTAGCAGCGGACTCTGACTGAACTGTAGTGAATGTCCTGAACTACAATAAACGTAGTTAAAATGCAAACATGTTGGCATTACTTCAAGGAAGATCAAACAGCGTCTGGATCGCCTTCTTCTGTGGTACATATGGACGACTACCGGACGTTAGCAGGATGCACCATGGACACAGTTTGCATCAGTGTTTACAGATTCTTTGTCCAAAAAGTAGGTAGTTTACAGACTAGTAAATACAAATCAGGAAAGACCTGCATGTAAATCACCAGTAATGGTTTAGAAATCAGGTTACAAAACTGTCTGTTTCTGTAAGTAAAGCCTGTGACATTTGGTGTGAAGGTGGGAAACTCCACCCTGAAATCTTTTTTGTTGTATGTTTGTTTACCAGTCACTGTGGTGAATAACTGTAGTGGTTGGATCTCATTCATTCAGCTTGTAAATGTGCTCGTGCGGCTGCAGACCCTTTGGATGAAGTGGCCGCTGTTCCTGGGAGGCAGACGTTTACTGATGAATGTACTTTCTTGTGGAATGTGCTCTGTCGTCTGCTTTCACCCACTCACCACACTCCCCGTTTTTCATCCTCAATCTTCCTCTAAGCATTTAGTGTCAAACAACAGCAAAGCTCATGTTCATGCTTGGATACTAAATGGTCCACAGGAAGGGAATTCGTCTTTAGAAGCAACTTTCATATCGGACGTCTGGTAAAATATTACCAAGTGTCTGTCACTGCAGCTGCAATCGATTCAGGTGTGTCCGAGTGCTGTTTTTCTTTTTTTACCACTCTCTCTTTCTAGTAGAGATTCTTGCTGTCTTATTGTGGACTTGTTGGTCTTGTTCATTATTTGAACTAAAAATAGCTGACGATGATCAGACGAAAACTGCAGACTTCCCCAGTTTTTTTGACCTCTCATGCAAAATAAATCAATCAATGAAGAAAACCGTTTCAAGCTGTGTCTTTAGGAAAGGTGCTCGATGAGGTCACACGGGCCGACTGGTCACTCGGGAAAATGAGTGTTCGCGGACAGAGCGTTTGTTAGAGATGGCTGACAGTTATTCTTTTTTGCCTGTCCCGTTTGGCTCTTTTGCCATCAGAATTGTTGTCTAAAGGCAAAGAAAGATGCCCAATGGATTTACTTTACCAAATTGACCATCCCAGCCTTGCCATAATGGTCCATTTGATTCACCTTTTATTGTTTATTTTATTTTCACTTACTGAATATGGGACAGACTTGCCTGGGGGAAAGAAGGGGAGAAAGAAAGAGGGAAAGAGAAACAGCTGAGAAGAGGGACGGGGGAGAAGGGCAAAAAACAAAAACCAACAGAACGGGCAGAAAAAAAAAGAAAAATGCATATATCGATCACCTGGGTCACCTGCTGAGAAAGAAAAAAGAAAACAAGCAGAAGAGAACAAGAGTAATAGAATAAACAACATCACAATGATATATGGGAATATGACAGTAAATACTAAATATTAAACATTATTGTGCAGCACATAAGATCAACAGCGCACAGTGTGCTTTGAGGTAGGAGCCAAAAAGGGTGTAGTTTGTGGGTGTGACCACCCGTGTGTACACCTGTGAGCATGGACGCGCTTGTTTTTTGTTTTTTAAAGGTTCCTTCATGTACCGGTAATGATCTGCTAGAGGGTGTGGGGGGGCCACAGCCCCGTCCTCCAGGGCATGAAGCAGGTATGGAGGAGATCAAAACTCCAGACATCCAGAGGCCCCCAGAACACAAGAGACCAAGGAAGACCAACAGAGGGGCAACCGCGCCACTGTCCCAGTAAGAGCTGAGGAGAGTCCCAGATGAGGGCTCACTCAGCAGCCGCGGAGCAGAAGCCAGGGGGAGTTGCAGTGACGCGCCCGTGAGCTCCGCCGGCAGCCAGCCGTGCCTGAGTGACCGAGCCCCAGGCCGAGAGGCCGGGGGCACCCCACCTCCGAAGTGACCCGAGCGAGCCCCAGGCTCCAGGCCCCGACAAGCGGCCGCCAAGGAGTGAGCCGGTGTGTACCTGGAAGCCCATCCCCGGACACAAAGAACCACCAACGCACCGATGTCTGAGGGAGTCCGCCACTGGCAGGGGAAGTGGTGGTAGGGGGAGATAGGCCTCCATACCTTGGAGGGCCTAAGATGTCCCCAGAGAGGTGGCGCCTGACACCCAACCTGACATATAGACACAGACATACAGGCACACACATATACAAACATCCATTCCCACCCTCATGCTCTCATATACACTTACTCCACACTCAACCAACGTGGAGACAGACATAAAGAGACGCTGTACACACGATCACACTCCCCAAGCATACTCTAAGCCCCGGGTCTAGGTACCCTTGCCGCTGGAGGGGGGGAACTGCACCCAGACCCAGGTGGTGTTACCCTTTTCCCTGCGGTGGGGGGAGGCAGACCGCCCCGACTCCGCAGCAGCAGGGAGGCCCCACACTCCAGACCGCAGTCGGACGGCCAACTCCTCCTCCTAACCCCCCCGCTCCAGCAGGTCGCAGAGAATGGGGGTGAGAGAAGACTCCAAACCAGTTATTAAAGTTGGTCGCCACCGTCACCAGGTATTCCAGGTATTCCAGGTTTTCCAAATACAGCAGGCAACAATTCCATAACCAAAATAAATGAATCCCACCTAAAAACCTTCAGATAGAAGACAGGTGGCCGCAGAAATACAAACAAGTTTAAAGCACTTTGAGGCAACTGTTGTTGTGATGAGGTGCTGCATAAATAAAACTGGATTCAGTTGACTTCATGACTGAGCCGGTGATGGTGAAGGTAAGAATAAACTAGCTGATGTTGCTCACCTGTTTCATGCCTGCTCTACGTATCCCAGCATTGTTGTTAACATATGTCCAGTCCTGTACTCTCAGAACAGCGTTGTGTGCAATAATTGCAAAGATGAGATGATGGTGTAAAATAACTCGTGGCTGCACTGACATGTATGTACTGCTGTTCTAGTCTCAGTGACTTACTGGCTCTTTTTAAACCAACTCACATTTACCCATACTGTCTGTTAGTACTTACAAAGTTAGTAACTAAGTTTGATAAATAATACAGTTTAATGAATTAAAAAAACAAATGTAAACTCGCCTAACCGTGGTGGAGGGGTGTGTGTGTTGTTTGGGGCCTTGATAGACTCTAGCAGGCAAACTGGTCCATGGTGAGAGGCCAGACACCCATACGGAGGGCAAAAAGTCAGGGGCCAAATGCCCAGGTTCACTGTGGCCCCACCCTGATTCTGCCAAACTGTCAGGCGACTCGGGAGAGAAAGCCGTGCTCTACTCACACTTCTGACCTCAAAATTATCTCTAGTTTTTGCAGAGGATGTGATTCTGCTGGCTTCATTAGGCGGTGGCCTCCAGCTTGCACTGGAATGGTTCACAACCGAGTGTGAAGCAGTGAGAATGAATTTCACCTTCAAGCCTGAGGCCATGACTCTCAGCTGGTGAAGTGTCCATACTGCGTCACAGTTGCTAAACCCAAGTGGAGTTTTAAGTATTTCCTGGTCTTTTTCATGAGTGAGGAGAGGAGAAGTGGGATGTTGGGGACCGTGTCTGTAGTGATGCGAGGCGGGTCCAGATAGAGCTGAGCATTAAACCTGGGTGAGGCGTGTTTCAACCTAAGGAAGCCCCGGGGTAGACCCGTGCTGGCGAGATCATATCTGTGACCGGAGCAGAGGGAGGTCTGAGCTACACAGGCTACTGCACCCATGATTTGGCCCAAGATGGATGGATAGGTGTGTGTTTTGATTGACCAGAATCTGGGTTTAGGTCTTGCACATTTATAAACAGATCATTGGGAGAATAAAATAGCCAGAAGGCAAAAGGACAGATCAGGAACTCGTTAGGATTATAAGTGCAATGTGCAAATGTTGGAACACTGTGTAACATATGGAATCTGAACTGAATGCAATGATCTGTAAATCTCATGATCCAACGTCTCCTTCAAAATGGAGAATAAAAATGATATCCAATGATTAAACTGAGAAACTGTAGCAGTTTAAGGAAAAACTTAGGTCATTTTTAATTTGGTGGCACCAACATGTGTCAGAAAAGTTCAGACAGGTTCATGTTTACCACTGTATGGCATCCCCTCTTCTTTTAACAACGATCCATAAACGTCAGGGACCTGAGGAGACGAGCTGCTGGACTAGTGGAAGAGCAATGCTGTCTCACTCCTGGCTAATATAGGATTCTAGTTGCGTAACAGTCCTGGATCTTCCCTCTCTTACTTTTAAATTCACGATGTGGCAAATTAGTCTTCATTTGGTTAATGGCCCCTTCTACAACAAATCCATGCTGTTGTAACAAATGCAGCATGCAGTTCAGCATGATCTTGGTTAAAGATTCACAGGAAAAGATATTCCATGTCCCTATTGCCAGTCTTGGCAGCTGGGGGTCAGTCCGCCAGGGCCTCCGCTCCTGGCCGCC